CCCACATTTTACAAATTTGTGTCTGTCCCGGTTTCACTTTGTCAGGCATGACTAAACCAAGAAGAACCAGTTCGAAGTCCTGGTTTTACTTAGCTCACAATTTTCCCTTTACCCCAAAGATGGAAAGAAAATGCCACTTCTCAATCCAGATTTGCCCCAGTACAGCTTCCTCGTGCACGAGTATCTGTGACTACAGAATCTTTTTGTTTCCTCCTGCTCTTCAGAACATGTTCCCCAAATCATGAACTGAAAAATAAAACTGGAGTTGATACACAAATTTAATATTGTTAAAATTTTTATTTTTAACTGAGTGTACTTACTGCAGATAGCCCACAATAATTTTTTGCGCCCCCTGTACTCCCTTTCTTGTTCTTATTTACTTCATGAGAATTTGCACTTCTTGTTGTTGCTGTTAAGTGCAGTTGCGTCAATTCTGAATCATAGCAACCGTGTACATGGGTTCTGAGGAGCAGCTGGTGTGTTTGAACTGCCAAGCTTTTAGCTCACAGTCCATTGCTTAGCCTACAACGCCACACCATGTACTCCCCAATTAAACTCTAAGTTCCTTACAAGCAAGGCAACTATAAAATTTGCTTCTTACCCCTAAGAGTGTGCTGTGTATAAAAAAACACAAAATGTACTTCTTAGATTCCTTTTTTGAATCCCTGGCACTTTCATCACTTTATAAAGACAACTTTTTTCCATTTTTAAATGCAGAGTATTATTGGAAAAGAAGACTGAAATAGTCAGGCATTGTGACAAGGAATGCTACAGAAGGAAAACTGGGCAAATGATGCCCTCTACACACCCTGTCACTGCTCAAGAGTATGAAATCACAGGCTACATGACTCTGGAAAATTACTTCAACACCTGAAGGATAGCTCATGCCACCACTGTCAGATTTAGCATTACTAAAGTTAGGAAACTGACTACATATATTTATTTTTTCTTCTTACTCAAGTCATCGCCTCCTGATGAGTCATACCTGTAAAACTGACAGGCCAATCTATTTCCACTTCCTAAAAGGAGAACTAACACATAAGGAAAATCAAACGAAGTTTCTTTGGCATATCCATAATCAGTCAGTGACAATCTGTGTTATCAGGAATAGCACACACAGGAAAGAGAAAATAATGAAATCAGAAAGACTTCCAGTCCTGGCAAGCAAAATAAATTTTAAATAATGTTCTTTCAATGCATCAGAATAAAAAGATAAAAATGAGTGATCAAAGATGTGATCTGTCTTGAATCACTTCATAGTCAACCAATGCATGTACCAAAGCAGCTCATAGTTTATCAAGAAAACTTAATACCAAATATTAAGAGTAATCAAGTACCATGGGCTATAAGCAAAAGAAGACACCTTTCAAACATTTCATTTTTCTTGACTATAAATATAACAAGACAAAAACTTAAAGGGCTACAAGTCTTATTAAATTTTATTCCGAGAATAAATGAAAGAAGATTGGGGACATATGATATATTGAATATCATCTTTTAAATACATGCTAATACAGTTTTAACTTATACATGTTGTTGTTAAGTGCCATCAAGTCAGTTCTGACCCATAGCAACCCTGTATAGGGTTTCTGAGGAGCAGCTGGTGAGCTTGAACCACCAACCTTGCAGTTCAAAGTGACTTATAAATATCAAAAGAATTTACAAGCTCTCTAGGCACTTCAGTTATGTCTGGAAGAGTTTAATATGATCCAGAAACACAAAAGAAATTCTAAATATGGAGTTTAACTTTCTTCTTTCTTCTAGTGTTTGTTGACTTTTTAAAGCCAAGCAATTTGTATGACAAAAGAGGATACACGCAAATTAAGAGCAAATTCATATTCTTTGTTAGGCTGAGCTAGTCTGTCCCTAATGGACTATAGTCTCTAATGATTAAAAACAAAGAGGAGATTGGAGGTCAATAGATAAAGTGAAAAAAGAAATTACCCTGCATTTAATATAAAAAGGTATTAAAGGTACAGACTAGGTGCCTTATATATAAATCATAATTAAGATTTTTGTTTTTGTCCAAGAATATAAATGTCACATTATATAAAGAAGCAGCAGAAATTAATTTCAGGCTCCAGCATGGGATCCAGAAAGGCAAGTTAAGTATTTTATCTTTAATTTGTTCACCTATTCCAAACATACCAACTAACAAGCTCATCAAGGTAATCTCTAGAAACCAGTACCTCATACAAAGTTGAAGTCTGTGCTTCACTGTGCCATCAAATAAACCTCACCCAGGCCTGTTCTATACCTGTTAGCTGTCATGCCACCAGAGAAGATTCTACAGCACTGTTATTTCAAAACAGTGCAAGCTCATTATTCTCACACCATAAACACATCAAAGAAGCAAAAAATACTGAAAACACTACCAGGTGTAAAACAAAACAGCTTGAAGCTATTACCTTCTCCTAATCAAAGCTTTGCCAAAGTAACGTTCCAAAACTCCAGCTACTAAAAACACAAATCTTTCTAAAAACTACTCTTACCCATATTTTTCTTTTGTATCCAAATCTTATGCTTTTCTGCAATGGGAAGTGAGTATCTGTCATGATTTTAACATCCACCAACTTCTTAACGAATCCCAATAGCCAATGGAGAACTTACCTCTGCAAAATGTGTTGATGTGGTATTATCTATCCGGCTGCTGCCACCACCACCTAAAAAACTAAAGAGAAAAAGGAGTGAGTGGTGATTCTATTCTCAGGAGAGCAAGCGCCCATCCCAGAAGCTAAATATAGAATGGTATAATGAGAACAAACCCCAATAAGGAAAAATAAATCATCCCAACATGACGACTACAAAGGAAACTATGGGTAACTGCCATGTGTGTTAATCTATCAAAAATATCATACCCACAAAATCAAGACTAAATCACGTGAAACACTGGGGCTACAATGGAAAAGGGAGAAGGACCTACAGCCAAGTAATGCAATTCTAATTCGATCTACCCAAGAGAGGAAAAACAAATACATATTCTCAAAGAGGCTAAGCAATAGGATTTCCAAAACAACGTTTCATTAAAAACATTCTATCACCACATGGACACATCTGAGGCTACAATAATTTAAGATTTCTTGGGAATGCTGAAATGTAAGGAGTCTGGTACTACACTTAGCATATTATAAAAGGACTCAGTAAATATTTCTACTTCTGACAGCTCATTCTATTCCTTGGATTATCTACCAATACATCATGGCCCTTCTCAAACATGGCCTCCTTAGTCTTTTCTGATCTTGCCAACCAAATCAGACACCTCCACATACCCCTCTGCAACCTGACTCTGATTCTAAATTCCACTTTGTATTATAAATATCTAGGATTCGTCTCATCCACTCCTACTCTTACCCTTCGTTCATAAATATAACTTCAAGGGGCAAAGTCTGTATTTTATTAATGCCACAAATATGTAATGTTTATTGTTTGTCAGACATTATACAGAATACTCATCACCTTTGAAAATGTGGCAATGTTACATCCTATACCATGTAAGGAAAAATACAAATAGAAAATAAGAGGTTTAAATTTCTCCCTATTGAAAATAGGAGATTCCACTCCTCCCTGTTCTTTTAGAATTCATTTTAGATTATTTGTATTTGGTAAGACTGAGGGGTCCTGATGACGCAGTAGGTTACGTATTGGGCTGCTCAACACAAAGTTGGTGGTTCAAACCCAGTAGCAGTTCCTCAGGAGAAAGATGAGGCTGTCTGCTCCCATAAAGATGTAAGTCTAGAAAATCCTAAGAAGCAGTTCTGGTCTTTCCTATAAGGTTGTTATGAGCCGGAATCAACTGGAAGGCAGTAGGGGTTTTTTTGTTTAATGGTAAGCCCTGGAGGCCCAATGGTTAAGGGATGCTCAGCTGCTAAACAAAAGGCAGTAGTTTGAACACCTCTAGAGGCTCCAAAGGAGAAAGACCTGGCCATCTGCCTCCATAAAAATTAAATCCATTGCTGTCAAGCCGATTCTGACTCATAGTTGGAACTTATAGGAGAATTGTTCCAGTGGGTCCCAAGTCTACAATTTTCACAGAAGCAGACTGCCACATCTTTCTCTTATGGAGTGGCTGTGGGTTCAAACCTCCAACTTCTGAGTCAGCAGCTGAGCGCTTCAACAACTTTGCCACCATGGCTTCTTACACAGCTATAGAAAGGGTAAGATTTTTCTCTTTGCAAACTCTTTAGCAGATTGTCTATAACGCATCACATTGTGACTTTCACTTAATAATACAACTACTGTATCTTGTATTTTTGTTGCAAAGTTTTCCAGGCTGACAGATTTTATTTTTAGTAATTTTTCTCCAACAACTGATAATTCAAAATTAAAAGTTACTGAATTAATATCACATGCATAAACAATAAAATAACTACCTATTCCTAAGCACCCTGAAGAACAAGGAGCAATATTAAATGTCATTGTTCCTATGACATTTGCAAAGAAGAGAAGAAACTGGCTAACATTTTATGGGGAAGAGACAGAATCACAAGAACTGCTGACACCACTTTTACTTCAAGAGACATACATAAGCACACATTCACTCACCCCAAAGATTTAAGTTCACAAACTACTACAAATAGCTCTCGTTTTCAGGATATCAACCCAACCCATGTGCTGAGTTTATTCAGGAGACAAATACACCCTGTTTAGTCTGGAAACAAAAGTGAAGAAGCAAAGCTAATGCCAGGGTTTATGTGATCATTCTCATGCCTTACTCTTTCATTAGACACCAAAGAATGTGTACAGCCAACTTAGCAAGACATGGAATTCACCTAATCTGGGAAATATAAAATACGTTTCCTTACATTTTACCCCCACTCTGCAAGAGTTTCCTCTTCCCATCTCTCTCTTGCTTTACCATTTCCTTTGACTTATAATTTTCTATTAATTTATCCTTCTCCACTTGCTTGTCCTTCACAATTCCCTGAAGGCCACAAGCAAACAAAGAAAAACTTAAAAAGCTATTTCCTCTGTGAGTTAAATATTTATCAAGTGCCTAGTATGTGATGTTATTGCTAAGTGCCGTTGAGTCAGTCCTGATTCTTAGCAATCCTGTATTGGATTTCTGAGAAGTGGCTGGTGGGTTTGAACTGCCAACCTTGCAGCTAGCAGTACAGTGCTTGTTCTACAGTGCCAACCAGGGGTCCTACTATGCAGTAACCACTGCACAAATACAAAAACAAGATATAACCTTTGCCCTCAAAGGGAAACACTCAGTCTAGGAAATTCTCAGGACAAACGCTAATCTTCCATGCAAATATGTATAGAAAGAAATACCCTAAACTACAACAGTTTATTTTGCATCTCAAGAAGAAAAATAAGGTAGAAACCAAAAACTATGTTTCCATACAAGAAAATACTGATTTTCTACCATAGAGCCTGTACCTAGAATTTTACCTACCCAATTTCTCCCTTAAAATTAAATCTGTTCATTGTGGAGACCGCAGACTGTGTCACAAAACAACGAAACAAAATGTGTATGATTTGTTGAATGGAAAGTCAATTTGCTCTGTAATTTCACCCAAATCACAATAAAAAAGGTTAAAAAACAATTTTTGAGGGGAAAAAAATTTAAATCTAAATTTCTATCAAAAGATCTTGTTTAAGACGCCTACATTTCCTAAATATATTTAAGAATAATTTAGTGGCCTAGACAGGAAACTGAAAACAGATGCTTCAATGAAAGATTTTTTTATGCAAATGAAAAATTATATAAAGAAAGGTAACATGAAGAATTTTGTAATCCAAACTAAAAACCATAAATAAAAAATACTATTGAGAGACCAAACAAGATGGCGGATCGGG